ACAAGGAGGAAGAGGAGAAGGAGAAGGATCGACAATACCAATTACAGCTAGAGCAGGAATCGGCATACAAAAAGGAGTCCGATCTTCACTAGCATTCTCCCCCTGAAGAGAAGGACAAGAAGACGAAAAGAAGGGAGTAGACTTAAAGAATGTAACATATTTGGACACGTACATTTTTCCAGAGCGAGGGTCATAACAACGGTACCCTTTTTGGACTGAAGAATATCCCAAGAAGACACACTTAATAGACTTTGGATCAAATTTCAACCTAGAAGGACTCATGTCATGGACAAAACAGACGCACCCAAAGACCTTAGGAGGAAGATGAAAGGTATCCTCATCAAGAAAAAGAAGCTGATGAGGAGACTGGAGATGAAGGGTCCACGAAGGAAGTTTATTAATAAAATATACAGTTGTTTGTACAACATCCCCCCAAAACCGAGTTGGGACATGCGTCTGGAATAACAATCCCCTTGCAACTTCAACCACATGTCTATTTTTCCTCTCTGATACCCCATTTTGTTGGGGGTATGAGGACATGAACCTTGGTGAATTACTCCTTTCTCTTCAAGGAAAGTTTGTAAGTGCTTCTCAAAGTATTCCTTGGCATTGTCATATCTAATAATCTTAATCTTCTTTTCAAATTGTGTCTCCACCATATTAAAAAAGCCTTTTATAATTGAAGGAACTTCAGCACGGCTCTTCATCAAATACAGCCAGGAATATCGCGAGTAGTCATCAACAAAGAGAATAAAATATTTATAACCACCCATACATGGAATAGAATAAGGTCCCCAAACATCAGTATGTATTAAATGGAAAGGAACATTACTTCTCTTGTTACTTGCAAAATATGTGGTTCTACATTGCTTTGATAGTTGATAGACTTCACAATGTAGACCGGAACTAAACAAGGACTCAAACAGACTAGGAAACAAAAATTTCAATGAACCAAAAGACACATGCCCAAGACCATGCCACAATTTCAATTGACCTAGATTTTCATCATGACAGAACTCAGACTGACACATTAACCCAAACTTTGGAGACTAATCAAGAAGATCAACTCCATCGGCTTCATGCCCACTGCCAAACGTTTTCCCCGTACTCAGATCCTAGAAGACACAATAAGATGGAAAGAATGTTACAGAACAATTATGAGACTTTGTAAGAGAGCTAACAGATAAGAGATTTCTATGTAGTTGTAGGACATGGAGAACTGATTTCAGAGAAAGGTTGTTAGTAAGATTAACTTCACCCAAACCCGAGATTGAGGTTTGAGATCCATCACCAATAGTAATCTTATCTTTCCCTGAAAAAATTTTATACGTGGTAAAGTAGAAAGGCATACCAGTCATATGATCACTGGCTCCTGTGTCAATTATCCAAGAGCCAGAGGATGATGCATGACACGCAAGAGCAGTACCTGATTTTATAAAGGCATTGGAAGGTGTATGTGAACCAGCAGATGTAGGGAACCCACTCTTTTCAAGATGGAGCAAGATGCCTCTCAATTTTTCCATCACATCAGATGTGTCATGAGTAGATGCCTAGGCAGAAGAACTTCCCTCAAGCATGTGAGTCTGAGAATCATGACCAGCTGTAGAAACATGAGCATTTACCTTCTTTCCGATTTTAAACTTCTCAGGCTTTAGGTGGGGGTTTAGTTTCCAACACCTATCCTTGGTGTGCCTTGGCTTCTTGCAAAATTCACAAACTACATCCTCAGGTTTACCAAAACTCCGTTTGGGATTTATAGACACAAGAGCAGTGTGCTCACTGACAGGAACTTGCATCATGGCAATCCTCCTACTCTCTTCATTCTGCACCAAAGAATATGCCATGGAGAACGACAAAATATCAGCACTAAGGATGTGTTGCCTGGTGAAATCATAATTGGCATTTAGTCCAACAAAAAAATCAAAGACTCGGTTTTTCTCAATGCACTTCCTATATTGTTCAGCATCAATAAGATCCTTCCACTCCAAAGCTTCTAAATGGTCCATTTCTTCCCAAACTAATTGTAAGTAAGAGAAATATATGGCCACCGATTTCTTCCCCTATCGCATATCACATGCTTCTCTTCACAACTGATAGACTCTAGCCGTGTTCTTCGCTTGAGAATAAGTTGAAGTTAACCTATCCCAAATGTCCTTAGCTGTTGGAAGGAACATATAGTTGTGGGCAATGAGAGGCTGCATAGAGCATACCAGCCATGACATGACTAGCAAATTATCCTGCTCCCATTTGGAATAATTTGGATCTTCAGGCTTCGGCTTAGCTTCCTCACCGGTAATAAACCCAAGCTTACCTCCTCCTGCGGTTGTGAGCTTAGCTGATTGAGACCGTTCAAGAAAATTTGTCCATCAAGTTTTGCAGTAGTAATTTGCCCTCCAGCATTGTCATTACTTCCTGGGAGGACATAGGTAGGTACGTACACATCCTTGTGTGAATCCATTGATCACCACCCCTCTAAAAAAACTTTTCTTACCAACACCACAATCTCCCAACACTAGCTGAACACCCAAACACCTTTCCTTGAAGGTTAAACACGAGCTACAACAATAAACAAAAGAAACGGTGCTGGCGGCAAAATAGGGGAAGAAAAAAATTCCCAAAAATAATTTCAGGGCTTCAAAAAATCTAAGTCTGCTTCCTGTAATCTCAGAAAATTACCACACTTCAAACACAAGTGGGTTTAACAGCAACCAGCCCACCATGCGAGCATGCAAGCCCTAAACTCCAAATCTGTATTTTTCGCCAATTTTCATCTAAAAAATCCAAGAAAAATGTAAAAGAGCTTCAAACCTCCATGAAATATATATATCAAAATTCCTCTAAAAATGAGGCACATCAAGAGGTCAAAACCGCAAATGAATGCCGCCGACTGTACGGACTGCTGACATCAACCGGCGGCGTGCTGATGTCAGCAAGTTCGTCTGTGAGTCACGACCAACGGTAGATGCTCTCCTTGATCTTCCGATGCTCTGATACCAAGTTAAAGTACTTGAGATTTGAGAAGAAGAAGAGGAGGAAAAGAAGAAGAAGAAGAAGAAGAATAGAGGAAGAAGAGTTTGTCTAAAAAATCAGATGTGTTACTGTTCACACCTAAAGAGCCTTTCTTAACATTTTAAGAAAATTACAAATAGGCCCTTGAATAGGAACCCAAATACAAAAAACGACAAAAGGATATAAATGCCTTTACATTCTCAACAAGGTGTCAGCGCCTCTGGCATACACCTCAGGGCGTTTTGGGTTGCCTCACCTAGCACGCCTATAGGCATACACCTCCCACACCTTTTAAACTAGGCATTGCTTATGAGAAGCCCCAAATGCCGTATTGTGATAATCAAGCTGCTCTTAACATTGCCCATAATCCGGTACAACATACAAAACTAAACATATTGAAGTGGATCGAAACTATATCAGAGAGAGTTGCTTTTCAAGAAGTGTGTCTTCCATATATTGCCTCCGATATGCAACTTGCTGATCTCTTCACTAAGGCAGTTACAAAGACCAAGTTGGAAACAGATTTACGCAAGTTGGGATTGACTAATATCTATTTCCAACTTGAGGGGGAGTGTAGAGATATAGTGCAATAATGATTATTGTGGTCCCCACTACTGCATTTTTGTTTTGTGTTATTTATGTTTGCTGTTGGTATGTTAGTTATGTTAGTTATATCAGTTTCTGTTAGTTGTTTGTTTATGTAAGAAGTAGAGGCATTAGTGGAACTTTACTATGTTTTAAATTGCTAATATATAAATAGCTGAGTGGGGCGGCAATTCTATTGACCCACACTCTTTCTCTAATCTCCCTCCATTTTCTCTTCTCTTCTCCTTCTATTCTCTGTTCTTGTTCTTATTGAATCTACACTAGAAGTTAGATTGATTAGTCTTTATTACACAACTTAAGTCATCTGACATTTCTTTACTTATTGAACCATGGCTATAGCTACCTTTATTTAGTTTTGAAGAAAACAATTAATGACTACCTGTGAATCCGCCTTCCACTATAACCTTCTCAGAGCAGATAGCCCAGCCCAATCTTGAATCATCCCCCATACAAATAGAGCCTGAATATACCATTGATACAGTCCCCCTCCCCTCCCCCCGGATAATCTTGAAAACCATCCAATATATAGATAGACAGAAATTTGACCCAAAAAGGTTATTTCATTACAGCCCAAAACACCTGATTTCTAGTTACCCCTTGCATGGCTAACAAATCTTCCAATCCATTTGCAGATCTGACCCAAGAAAATGTAGTCCACCAATGCATGCTAGCTCCCTCAGGGCCTAAAATTACCAGCGTAGAGTCCCTTCAACTTCCTGAAACTTAACTGCTTAGGGAGTCTCCAGTCCCTAACAGCCCCAAGTATAGGGCAGTTAATCAGTCCATTCTTCTGCATTCCAAAAGGGCCTGGATAGGCTGGATTACCGTGTGAGCGTCCATCAAAGTTTAGCTTCAATCTGTTATTTCCAGAGGCTTCCAATCTTTATGAGCTTGACAGATCACTGTGGAGGAGGCTGCAACCACTCCCCAAGTTATCATGACCATCCACCAAAAAATCCTGAAAAATCCTTGAATATTTCCATTTTTTTACCCAATGCACAACCTTTAAACTTATACTTTCAATGATTGCTTCCTTGGACCTGCTAGTCTCTTCGAATATTTAACCCTCCTACTACCTGAGTTCCTGAGTAGTTATCTTTTGCGTATTTACATGTGTGTGATTTATGTTTCTTATAAACACAAAATGACAGTACACATTGTAAACTTTTACCAGAAGATCATTTTTGAAGTTTCTAATACCAACCATACATTATTGAAACAGGTATTACAGTTGGTTAATATTAGAACTCTTAAAGGGTGAACATATTGAGCATTGCTCATGCAAGCAGTCATTAATGGAGCTTCAGTGACAACTTGGGAAACTGAAAGAAATGCAAAAAGGCAAGAAGAAAATGTTAAATTGAAACTTAGAAAAAGAAAAGCACCTGCAAATTTACACTTGCTGAATCTGTATAACACAAACCACCAGAAATTCCTTCTTGAGTATAAGTGTCTGAACGCACCAACTCAAGATTTATGGTGCTTGTTGGATTGCCCCGACCCATTATCGCATTAAATAGAGAGGTTTTGCCAGCACCCTATAAAAACATAAAATCAGTATATAAAACATTCGTCCCATTAAAATTTTTAATGCATTTTCCATGTTTCATAAAATAAAATGCTCAATACCTCAAGACCAACTAATCTCACTCTACGAGTTCTCACATTAACCTCCTTGAAGACAGTAGTGAAATCACTGGTACAGAATATGACAAAACCACTTAAACCTTCTGGGCAGATGCTTCCTCCCTCATGAAATGACCCTGTACTACAATTCTTACTGGGGTTTATGGACTCTGGATCTAGAGCACGTAATAGAGAATCTGACACTATCTGGTGCTTTGGGGGCCGTTTGAGTGGTGCTCCAACTAAGACTCGTATCTTTTGTAAATCAGGTTCTGACCCATGATTTGATGAATAGACTGGAGTTGAAGGTAATGACTCTACTGTAGTTGAACACCTGGATGGAAGAAACACACATAAATAAGACATATACATGGTTAAATAAACATTTTATCTAGGCTCCCTCAATTCATGAGAAAATTTAGCAAACATCATCATTAAAGTAACTTCCATTGGGCATTTCTTTCCCAAGTATTTAAACTTTTGATGGCTCATTTAAGGAAAACCCCAACACAAGGAGAGTTATATGTTCAATATGGACTCTGGGAGTGAGTGCAACCAATCTAGATATCTTAGGATTTGTTTGGGTCGGTCATAGGATTCCACCACATGCCAGTAATAGGCAGGGTCATGTAGGAAAATCCTTAATTGACCTTAYTAAAACTTTCATACCTGACTAAACACTTGTATATGTAAATGTATGTGTAGAAACATAAACAATGTGATGTACTAGCATTGCAGAGAAAGCACCACAAGAAGCATATTCAGTAAATGGTAAGAAACCCGTGTGAAGTGACTTTTAGGACAGTTTCTTGACAATTTAATTAACAGAACAGATTGAGTTGAAGATTTAATTGGACAAAAAGGCATCCAATTATCTTGGTTTTTCCCAAACTGAATAACTCTCAAGAGACTTTTAGAACTACCCTGCTTTTCTTTCCGGCATAAATCTGATATATATGATGTAGCGGTGCCTAAATCTGAATATCTGAACCTCTATTTAAATAACTTAGAGCTTAGAAATACTGAGTGAGAGAAAGAGAGATTTAATATTTGAAAATTACCATCAGAAACTGCATATGAGAGATCAACAATCTTAACCCATTTAGCCACTTAATACTCCTATATTTGCATAACCAGAAGAGGGGAGAGAAAGGAGAGAGAGAGAGAGAGAGAGAGAGAGAGAGAGAGAGATCATGCACTAGTTGGTGAGGGATAAAAAGCTACCCAATCAACATTCCCACATGCAGGAATCTGATGAACCAGACCTAACAGTTACAACCCAAAGAAAAAGATAGAAGACTACAATACTCTTCTTTGTTAGAGTCATTTAAAGGAAACATGTTCCTTCTGGAATCAACTCATTCAAACTTCTTTCTCTCTTCTTAATCAATAAGAGAACTTTATACAAGATAAGCTGAAGCTTGTAGTAAACAGCAAACGATTATATGCAAGCAGAGTATGACAGCAAAAATGGAGAGAGTGAGAGGGAGCGCGGTAGAGGGATAGGAGGGATGGAAGGAAGGGGCAAGGATAGATGTTCAGCTGATGGTGGATACACTTAGGTGCATAGGCAGTTAAGGTAGTGATGGAATGGGAGAAAAAAGAAGTTCTGCCTTCTAATTTCAAAGAAAAAACAGGTAGGCAGGACGGAGATAAATGCACCTAATCTACAGGTAGAGAAGCTAACATAGAAGCAATGGATCAGCAATTCTGACTCAGTTGAGACATCAAGAATTGGTAGTTTGGATGTAATGGAAAAGAGGATCTACAAGAAGCTGAGAGCTTTAATACTGAGTTGCCATTTCCAGAGGAAGAAGACACTAGATGCTACCAAGTATGAGTAAATGAGTAAAGTAGCATGTTGTGAAAACACAATAAGCGGCAGCAACATCAAAGAAAACTTGCAATAAAAAACAGGGTAAGGTTTGATGAGCCAGAAAGGGGCATACAGGGGTATACAGGGTAAGGTTGATATTTGAAGGCAGGGATGGCTCTGATGGTACTTCCTATAAAAAACTGTTAGGGGAAAAAGGATTAGGTTTTGGAGTCTCTCCAAGAACTGAATCAGTCTTCAGCTTCTTCTCCCATCCATGTCCAGAACTCCAAGAATCAGGAATGAGTGTTTAACCATTTTTGGCTACTAATGATTCACTTGTGCCTGTAATAGACACACCAGTTCACAGAGCATTACCAGAAGGGGTGAGTAAAGGAGGTGGGAAATGGCAATTAGGGGAAAAGTGGGGCAGGATTTGTGAGATGGCAATTAGGGACGGATGAAAGGGAGCAGGGTGAGAGAATTTGGCAATTGATTTGTGAGATGTTGGAAGAGTTAAAACAGAAGGAATAGGAAGGGAAGAATTAGATATTTAGATCATTGGAGAAGCAAGTTAGTGGAGAGGAGGGAGGAATGGAAGAGAAAAGATTATCAAAGGATGAGACAGCCCAAGTAAGTGATAGAGTAGATGGGATTACAATTGAAAGGTCAGGAAAAGATGAAAGTGTATTCAAGAAACATGCTTCCAACGACCCCATGCACCCTCGGTTAGAGTTGGGTCTCTTATAGTAGAAATCAGGAAGATTATTAGTTGGAATGTAAGAGGGCTTGGTAGTGCTAGAAAGATAAGAGTGATCAATGACCTTTAGAAAAGTGAAAAGCAAGACATTGTTTTGTTGCAGAAAAAAGTTTGCAAAATTGGACAGAAAATGAGTTAGCAGTCTATGGTGTTTAGGGGTAATAAGCTGGATTATTGCCCCTTCCTGGGGAGCATCAGGAGGACTAGTTTACGTTATGGAGGACTTAAGGATCCGTTTGGTTCGYAGTCAGAATCGGAATCGAAATAGTCTATTCCCATAGTCTGTTTGGTTCAGACAGGAATGGGAATGGGAATTGGAATCAACAGGAATGGGATTTCATTCCCAAGGGAGGGGCAGGGAATGGTCATTCCCTCAAATGGGGGAATGCCATTCCAGCATGAATGGGAATGGGATTCCAATTCCGCCTAACCAAACACTTGGAATTGGAATAGCCCATTCCAATTCCAATTCCAGACCCCTATTCCCACAAACCAAATGGGGCCAAAGTAGTGGAGCCATTGAAAGAGTTGATTGGTAGGTTCTATGTCTGTAAAGTTCAAAAATTTGGAGGGGTTCACTTGGGAACAATCTCATGTGTATGGACCTAAAAGCTACGTTAGGGAATAAAAACCTATACAGAGACCTCACCTAACAACATAAGCTTTTAGGTTGAATGGTTACTTGAAATGGTCAGATCCTTTTTGACCATGTGGTCCATTGTTCAATCCTCCTCACCCCCCATTATAATTAATTAAATTTCAGCACAAGGTAAGGGTGAGCCTGTGTTTGTCCATGTTTCAAGCCCGATGGGCTTTCACATGAGAGGATATGTTAGAGAATAAAAACCTATTCAGGGACCTTACCTGGCAGTTTAAGCTTTTAGGTTGAACAGTTCTTTGACAAGCCAAAAGGAGAGGAACGAAATGTTGGAGGAGTTCTATGCAATTACAGGTTTATGGGATGGGCCTTGGTGTTTGGGTGGGTATTTTAATGTGATTAGGTTCTCCAATAAAACAAATAATTCACACCTGCAAATTTCAACAAGCATGAAGAAGTTCAATGAGTTTATAGATTCCCATGAGTTAAAAGGATATTTCCCTTATTGCAAGCTCAATTCACCTGGTCAAATCATTAAGAATCCTCTCTGCTCAAAATTGGATGGATTCTTATTTAACTTAGGGTGGGAAGAGCATTGGGAGGGGATGGTCTCTAGAACCTGACTAAGAGTTACCTAAGACCATTGTCCTATTAGGATAGGGCCTGAAGAGTTGTTGGGTGGTTCTACCCCTTTTAGGCTTGAGAATATGTGGCTAACTCAACCAGATTTGTTCACAAGGTATAGGAGTGATAGAGAGAAGAGTTGAGAAGAATAACATGGAAAGGAGTGGCATTTTACAAGCAGAGAGATGGAAAGCCTTTGGGTGACAAAATGAAGGTTGGAGGGACCGAGTGGTCAATTTTGAATTATGATGATGCAAGATTTTTGGGAAGGAATTTTGATGATGTGGAAATAAAGAGAGTTGTTCTTTCAATGGATAGATCTTAGGCCCAAGGTCCAAATAGCATTTTTATGGATTTTTATCAAGATTATTAGGAGATTCTGAAAGATAAATTATGTAAGGTGTTTAATGATTTTGTAGATAGACATTTCATTAGCCTAGGCATCAAAGTTACTTTTTAGCACTATTTGAAGAAGTCTAAAGTCGTCCACCCAAAGGATTTTAGGCCAATCAGTTTAGTGACTAGCATTTAGAAGATCATTGCAAAGGTCCTCTCATTAAGGCTTAAACTTGTACCTCCTCTTAATATTACTCAATTTCAAGGGGCATTCATTGCGGACAAGTAGATTACCAATCAAATACTCATTGCTAATGAATGTATTGAGGAAATGAGAAGATCCGGTGGCAAAGGTTTTGTGTGCAAACTAGATATCGAAAAAGCTTATGATTTGTGTATTAGTCTTTCCTATAGAGGTGATGAAAAATGGTGTATTTGGTGATAAATGGTCTAAATGGGTAGAAGGGTGTTTGCAATCATGCCACTACTTGATTTTGGTTAATGGAATGATGAAGGATTTCTTTCTGGTATGTAGAAATTCAAGACAAGAGGGCCCACTCTCTCCCTTTCTCATCACCTTGATAGCTGATGTTTTTAGAAAAATAGTTTCTAGAGTTTATTGAGAAGATATCTGTAGTGGGTAGAGAGTTGGAAGGAATAACATTGCAGTCACTCATCTTTAGTTTGTAGACTATAATAGTTTTCTGCGAAGGTGATAATCTCAGGAGGGCAAGAAATTTGAAGTTGTTGGTTAAGATGTTTGAGCAAATGTCAAATTCAAAAATCAAATTTGACAAAGTTGTATTGCAGGGGTTACACCAAGTTTGGGAGTGCTTATTCTAATAAGCACTTATGAGTGTTTGGTGAAAAAAGCACTAATTTTGAACAGGGGTAGTATAGGTATTTTCAAAATGATGTGGCAAGTCAAGATGGGCCAGAAAGGAAATAAGCACTTAAAAATAAGCCCAAAATTTGGGCTTCGAAAATAAGTGTTTATTCTCAGAATAAGAACTTATTTTGGGCTTACTTCCCAAATGCAGATAAGTTCTTATTGGTGTGGTCCCAGCCCAAAATAAATGCTTATTCAAATAAGCACATAATTTTAAGCACTCCCAAACTTAGCCTTAGTATGGTTGACAGTATCCTAGAGTCCATAGCCGGTTCCGTTGGGTGTTTGGTCACCTCTTGGCCTTTGAACTACTT